ATATATAGAAAAGAAAATGATGAGGTACTAGAATATATGGAATAAAGAATGATCGACAAAAGGTATAACGATTAGAAAAAATTGCCTAAAATGATAGAATACAGAAATAATGAATCCCTATTCAGACCCTCATAATCTGACGATGACATTTAGCTTTAGGACAATTATGGGCATGTGATACAGTTTAAGAACCACAGTGATTTTTTTTTACAAAAGTTCACATATATACAAGCTAATTTTTACAAAATCAATTTATATATGTAATAAAAATTATATCTTCATGTGCTAAATTTAAAAGACAAATGGGTTTGAATTATTCGACATTTACTTATAACATTTCGGTTTCTTGGACATTTTTGTCCTTTGAACAGACATCCTTAACTTTTTTGTTTCAAAAGATAAAGATATGCGGATTTCGGTAAAGAGATTAGGAATATCTTCGTTACAAAATTGGGCTCTACATTTGTGTAACAATTCTTTGTTAATATTTAATTTTTGTGAAAAGCAATTGATACAAGAAGAAAAAAACGGTATTTTTGTTGTATATTTATCTAGTTAAAAAACAGTCGGTAATTTCTTCATAAAAGTTGCAACGAATAATCTTCATACAGTATCAAGCAAAATGTCATGTCTAAAATGAGGGGGCCATAACTGATAACACTTTTTCCTTAAAAAAATGAAAAAAATAATTATTTGGATAAGAAAATAACCCAGATATTTAGATATATTAGAATAAAAATATTTTTTTTATTTTTTAAAAATCATTTAATATTCATCGGTTTATGATTAAATGAAAAATATAGAAAATTTTTATGTTGTTTTTAAGGAAGGAAAATAATGTTTGTCCCGAGAAAAAAGCCCCCCCCCTTATAAATGATCATTAATTTACCTAAGTGGGGGCTTAAATTTGGAGACCGATCGCGAGGCCTGACTGCCATAAACAACAGATAACGAACAGCAAACAGTGGATACACCAATATGTATGAAAGACAACGGCGGACACAAAATGATTGCACTGAATAAGTTCAACTACCATTGAGATCGTTTTTTTTTCAAATCTCCTTATCAAATTAGAAATGCATTTTAAAAAACCTTGGGATATCTTTTACAGTTTGGAATTGGAATTGGAATTAAAAATTGCATTTCCCAAAGAGTTTCAGGTAAAACCCCGAGAATCTCACCTCCTAGAAATTTGAAGTGCCAGGATGTTTGAAAATATGTATGAATTTTATTGCATACTTGAAATTGTATAAGGAATATAAAAAGATTCAGTATGTTTACTGTATAAACAAACAACAGACACCAAGTGATGGATACAATTGTGGCTTATATTGTTTAATTCTTTTTTACTGAGAGCAAAATTTGATTGATTGATTATTCAGTGGTTGTTTAAACGTCCAGTGGCAAAAGTTTCATGCATATTCAGGACGAAAAGTCGTTTCAGAAGTATATTATAAAGTATTTGGTATTACAAATGTTTAAATTTTCTCATTATTTGGTAAATTTCATTTTCTTAGCTATTTCTAATTAATTTGTACGAATCAGATTTTTCTGACAAATTATATATTTTGCTCTAAATTAACTCATATGATTCTGATAATATAAGGAACATTGTAACTTAAGTAAAAAAAAAAAAGAGATTATGATTGTTTAATCAGTTGTTATGTAAGTTCGCTCGTGTCAGTCGGATCACTGATTTTCGGCAATATCAAGGAAAAACCGGCACGTTCCAAATATTGTTCAACTACTCATTTAATGGTGATTCTTTTTCTTTAAAAATTGGAATTTATGTAATAAAAATCTATCTATCTCTACCATAGTATGAAAACAGAGTACAAGTAACACGTCCTTTCTAGTCCGTAGTGGCATATTATAAGTCCTTAGCAGTGTTTAGACGTATAGGCAGAAAACAGTCGAAGGCCACCAATGGGTAGAAAATCCCGCACCGAAGGCGTTTTTCAGCTGGTCCCTAAACAAAAATGAATTTTAGTTCAGTGATAATGGACATCATACTAAACTTCGAAACATACAAATATTTCCTAAATTTCGGAACGTAAACAAATGATAATTAATTAGTTAAGGATACAAATTTAGGCAGATAAAAAGAAAGGGGGGGGGGGGGGGGTTCAATGCATTTGAATGGGGACATATGGTTAAAACCACCCCTTTTATCCTGGGTTGAGAACCCTCTTTTTAAAAATGGCTGGAATCGCCCCTCTTTAAAACGTAGCAATTTATAAATTATTTATATTAAGTAGAATTATAAAATCGATGAGTTTTATAATTTGACAACACTCATTGATATTGGAAATACTATACTACAATTGATTTATTTAATACATGGAGTGTTTAGTAAAACTGTCGACCAATCAACACAGAAAGCGAGATATCTAAAATTTGTATACCCTTATAGATTTTCATTATCATACATCAATTTTAACTGAAATTCCAAATAAAATGGCTTTGAGAACTGTGTATTAAGCGCTTATCGTTCATTCGTCAATGAATCATTCACCGTGCGTGTATCGTGCGTGTATCGTGTGTTCATCATTCATCGTGCATCGTGCGTTCATCATTCATCATTCATTTTTCATTAATCCTCCGTGTAACGCTCATCGCTCATCGTGCGTGTATCGTGTATCGTGCATTCACCGTGCGTGTATCGTGCGTGCATGTATCGTGCGGTTGGTCAGTTTGAATTTTAGAAGGTCTGTAAGCCTTTGACATAAACTTTTAAAAAATTGGACAAGAAATGTAGGTGTTAGAGTGCTTACAATGCAATGTTCAATATGATTTACATTTTATACATATTATAGAGACATATAACTCCTGTTAAAATGACAGGTTCAGCCCTGATATCAGAAACTATCCAAGACATTGCTGATATAAACCTATGATATAAATTTCATAACAATCCTACAAGAAATGTAGGTGTGAGAGTGCTTAGAATAAATTTTCTATATTATATATATAATTAATATTTCCAAGGGGCATATAGCTCTTTTTTTAACATGTTTACAGTTGATCCATGCTAATTATGGAAATTTTCCAAGACATTGTTGATTTAAACCTTTGATATAAACTGCATAAATATATGGCAAGAATTGTAAATTTGTGAGCCCTTACAATCTAATTTTCTATAAAATTTACATTTTTAAGGCACATACAACATGTACAGCGCTGAGATTTTTAACTCATCCCAGACAGTGCTAATATAAATCTTTGATATAAATTTCACAACAATCCTAAAGAAATGTAGGCTTGAGAGTGCTTACAATACAATTTTCTATACATATATAATAAATATTTCAAAGGGGCATAACTCTTTTAAAAATTGTTGGTCGGCACTGATATTCAAAACTTGTCAGATCAACATTGCTGAAATAAATCTTTGTTATAATTTTTTTATAAATGTACACTATAGAGTGCTTTCAACGCAATTTTGAATAGAATTTGTATCTCCAAGGGGCATTGCTCTTTTAATAAAATGCTTCGCTGAGCGCAGCCTGATACGACCGCAGTGGTCGAACCCTGAACAGTTGGGGCAAATTTGGACACAATATTCAAGCTTGATACTGTCTGAATTTAGATTGTAATCAAATTTTTGACATAATATAGGTTTCTGACACAAAATAAATGTGGTCAAAGATCTAATCCATTGCGCTATACTGTGCAATTAAAGATTTCTTCCTGAAACTTAAAAAGTTTGAAATTTTAAAATTTTGAAAAAAAAATATGAATCCCTTAAAAAAAAATTGGGGAAAAAATTCCCCCCCCCCAAATTTTTGAAACCCCTCTTGGAGCAATAACCCCAAAACTCAATCCCAGCCTTTCCTTTGTAGTATGGAACCTTGTAGTACAATTTCAGAGAGATCCATACACTTACACACAAGTTATTGTCTGGAAACTAGAAAAATGCTTGTTTTTGGCCCTTTTTTGGCCCCTTATTCCTTCATGTTTGGGGCAATTAACCCCAAACACAATCCAAGCCTTCCCTTTGTTATATGGAACCTTGTGGTACAATGTCAGAGAGATCAATACACTTACACACAAGTTATTGTCTGGAAACTAGAAAAATGCTTGTTTTTGGCCCCTTTTTGGCCCTTAATTCCTAAACTGTCGGCCCCATAACCCCTAAAATGAATCCCAACCTTCTACTTGTGGTATTAAACATTGTGGTACAATTTCAGAGCAATTGAAATACTTATACACAAGTTATTATCCTGAAACTAGAAAAATGCTTGTTTTGGGCCCTTTTTGGGACCCCTAATTCCTAAACGGTTGGGACCATCATCCCCAAAATCAATCCCAACCTTTCTTTTATGGCATTGAACCTTCTTAAAAAATTTCATAAAGATCAATTCACTTAAACTAAAGTTATTGTCCGGAAACCAATGTGTCTTCGGACGACGACGCAGACGACGACCAAGACGACGACAACATCATACCATTAGACGATCCCAAAAATATTTTTGCGGTCGTATAAAAATAGTTGTTTGGCACGGACTTTCAAATCTGTCTGAGACATTGCTGAGATAAACATATGATGTAAATTTATAAAAAATCTTGCAAAATTTGTACAAGTGACAGAGCTTAAAGGAATGGATGGATTGACACATGGACACACAGTCTTTCTGTGTCCTTACACATAAATGTCGCATGATGCACAGCTAAGAAGTAAATTCTCATTTCATATCTTGGGGAGTCAATTTTTTTCTTGGGAACAAATTTTGGTGGATTGAAATTTTGCAAAAGCATGCATACATGCATATAAAAACTGTGCAAATTCGTTGAACATTTAAATTTGAGTTTTACCTATACCCAATAAATCCACCATATTCATAAGTCACATAAAGCATCAGGTAAAAAGATTATATCATTTAATCAGTCATTTATTTTATTATCCGGGTAATCATTATTACAATTGATTACATAAATTATATGTTTGAATTTTTCTGCTAGAATGGGCAAAGGAACATAATTCTTATACAGTACTGTACCTGGTTCTGTATCTCTTTCGGTTTGAGCCACACTTTGTCCTGAAAATTTATCAAATTTGTTCTTTTTAATTAATTAAATTATATATATATATAATCTATATATATATATATATTTGATGCCATGATATCTCAGTAGCATGAGTTCGAATCTTGGCGAGGGAAGAACAAAAATTTGCTTATGCAAATTTACAGATCTAACATTGTTGGGCTGTTATTTAGGCGAATTATATATATAAGTACGTCTGAACCAGTGACAACTCTACAACAGATTTTATCCATCGGATCACCAGCAGTGATGGTGATACAAGGCTGAAAATACATTCTGTATATATAATTCGTCTAAACAACAGCCCAACAATGTTAGATCTGTAAAATTGTGGAAGCGCCTAACATTGTTCGGCTGTTGTTTAGACGAATTATATATATATATATATATATATATATATATATATGTAGAAATGTATGTATGCTAAAAACTCCAAATTGTATTCTTATTTACAGTCAATGATACTAACTTCATAGTACATGTAGTAGTAGAATAGATTTATTATATATTTGTTTTAATTTCGCCTTTTGTAATCTAGCTAATAAATCTAATATCCATAAGCAAGCAAATACAGTTTCATACAACTTTCCACTATCGTTTCCTTTCAACTGCCCTCTGGTCATAAATATATGAGTTACTAATGGGATGTCACCAATTTTGAAAATCAAATCTCTTTCTTGTTAAACTTAATTGTATTGCTGATAATTTTTTTTCTGTAAACAGTTTCTTTCTGTGTGCCAAGAATAGAAAAAGGTAAACAAATCGTCATCTAAGGGCAATAAATCATACAAAAATGAAAGAACCTTAGTGAGCGCACTCACATACCCCACGTCCCCACATTGTCATTGGAGAAATAAAAAAAGTGTAAGAAAAAAAAATTGTATCAGAAAAAAAATTGAATCATAATTTCCTGTCAATATGCACATCTACATAGTATGTCTTTATTATCTACACAGTTTCATGAAATTCTGTTGTGCGGTTTGAGAGGAGTTGCGATGACAAAAGGTTGCAGTAGTATATTGGGCAAATAAGTTCAAAGGAGCGTAACTCCTGGAAAAAAAATTGAATCGTAATTTCCTGTCGATATGCACATCTACGTAGTATGTCCTTATTATCTGAAAAGGTTTCATGAAATTCTGTTGTGTGGTTTGAGAGGAGTTGCGATGACAAAAGGTTGCAGTAGTATATTGGGTAAATAAGTTCAAAGGGGCGTAACTCCTGGAAAAAAAATTGAATCGTAATTTCCTGTCGATATGCACATCAACATAGTATGTCCTTATTATCTGAAAAGGTTTCATGAAATTCTGTTGTGTGGTTTGAGAGGAGTTGCGATGACAAAAGGTTGCAGTAGTATATTGGGCAAATAAGTTCAAAGGGGCGTAACTCCTGGAAAAAAAATTGAATCGTAATTTCCTGTCGATATGCACATCTACGTAGTATGTCCTTATTATCTGAAAAGGTTTCATGAAATTCTGTTGTGTGGTTTGAGAGGAGTTGTGATGATGAACTGTTGCAGTAGTACATTAAAGTAAATAAGTTCAAAGGGGCGTAACTCCTAGAAAAAGAATTGAATCGTAATTTCCTGTCAATATGCACAACTACATAGTATGTCCTTATTATCTAAAAAGATTTCGTGAAATTCTGTTGTGTGGTTTGAGAGGAGTTGCGATGACAAGAAACAGGACTGACGGACTGACGGACTGACGGATGGACGGACAGACGGACAGACGGACGGACAGACGGACGGACAGGTCAAAAACATAATACCCTCCGCAACTCGTTGCGTGGGGTATAATAACTGACATGACTGACAAATTAATCTACATATATGCTGACCTTTTTGCAGATATTGTCATTTTGATCATTTTTCCTGTTTAATTTTATATACAATGTATAAAAAGAAGATATGGTATGATTGCCAATGAGACAACTCTCCACAATAGACCAAATGACACAGAAATGACACAGAAATTAACAACTATAGGTCACCATATGGCCTTCAACAATGAGCAAAGCCCATACCACATAGTCACCTATAAAAGGCCCCAAAACAGTTCAAGAACAAGTCTGCTATTAAAGGGGCGCAATTGGTACATATTAAAGGGGCGCAATTGGTGCCCATATATCTATTATAGTTTTCAAGATAAAATGCAAAAACGGGGGAAAAAAATGGTAAAAATTGTTTTTAAGGGCACTAACTCATCAAAAGAGTTGACCAACAACTTTCAGAAATATCCACTTATTTTTGCCTTGTGCCAGTTGTGGATCATCTTTGCTGTCTAAAATTCACTTTATTTGTCATAGTTTCAAAAAAACATTTGGTGTTACTGATCAGTTTTGCTGTTTAGAGATTTTATAGATATCTGTTTTAAATTTCAGGTACTTTTCAAGGTAATAGACAAAAACTTAAAACTTGAAAAAAAAAATCATCTTTAAAGGGCAATTTCTCCAAAAAGGAGAAGCTGGTTGTTTTTAGCCATTTTGACTATAATCAAGCTATAGACATGGTAGATGGCCCGAGAACACAGTTAATTTGTAGTGCATTTCTTTTAGACAATAAAGTCAAATCAAAAAAATCGCACCTGCTCTATCTCAAAAAGATTTTTACAGTGTAGTGTACTACTGTTGGGACAAATAATATCAAAATTATAGAAAAGTCTACCAGCTCTAACTCAAAATATTGACAATTCTATGTTAAGGGGGTCTAAAATTCAGTTTGACAGCTTCAGACATACTGGTTTTTGACCTTTTTTAACTGGACCAAATCACTACTTAACATAAAGATTCAGCAACCAAATTTTTTTAACATGTAATTTCATCCCCTTACTTAATATTTCATGCATAAAATATAAAGAAATAATTTTGGAAAGTGTATGAAAAAAATTTGCAAGTTATACACTGTCCACACTAGGGACTATATTTGTAGACAATGAAAATCTAAGGACGATAACTGTGTCCTCGGACCAGATGGTAGTTTCAGAGAAGATTTTTGTAAAAGTTAAAGGACATGATGAAACTCTAAGAGGCTCTAAAGAGCCTGTGTCACTCACCTTGGTCTATGTGAAAATCAAACAAAGGACACTCTCCAACATTGTAGACGAGAATAGACTTCATGACAAAAATCTCTATTTTGTTGATCATGTATTACTGATCTTTTAATCTGTTTAGCCTCTCTCTATCTTCTTTAGTTTTTGCTCAAAACACAAAAGAGGGTTAAAAAAATCCTCATTTAAGGGCAACCACTCCTATGAAGAGTGACAGTCTACTAACTATATCGGCAAAATAGATTTTGCCTTGCTGATAATTTTTGTCTATTACAATTTAAATCATATAAGGCATAACGGAAAAAATGTTTCTCTCTAAATATCATAGTTTTCATGATAATAGGCAAAACTGAAAATCAAAGCACTGTAAGCGCTGTAGGCAGTTAACCAAAAACCAAGGCAAACGTAATTATGAAAACTGTGGCAGTGTTGCTTCAATTTTTTTTTTAAGATTTGAAAGAACAAACATTCGTATATTGTACATTTATGTTCATTAAATGAATTGATTATTAAGGCAAATTAATTAATATTTCATCAAGGTTTTCAAAAGCAACTCATATATCAATGTAAATGACCCCCATCTTCATCCCCAAGTGCATGATGTTACTCCATACCAAGTTTGGAATAAAATGACAGGTGATTATAAAACAGTTGGTCAAACATTCTTGGGTTTTACACTGCTTGAAAGATTTATATGTTTTCTTTAAAATGAGCCATAAATGAAAATTATTATAGGCCCAAAATAATTTAATAAATAATTAAAGTAAATTCAATTAACCTAGACTCATTTTTTGCATCAATAACATTTTATAATAAACAAGAAATAATTGTAACAGGATGCCGTTACGAAGTCTCCCAAACAAAGCCTCCATAATTTGTCAACCCAATGGTCTCCTGACATTGGGCAAAGTCCAGTTCATATTGGTTTGGTCTAGTAAAGTGATATGCATATGTGACACCTAGGAGATTGACCCTGTATGTCATTCAAATCTTTTTGAAATGATGAACAGGAATAAATATGGTTTAGGTGTGGGTATCTCGACCGTTTACAAGTTCTCAAACAGGAGGGGGTGGGGTGACCCGAGGAACTCCCCATATATTTCATTTGATTTTTTATATTGTCCCATACAAGTTCTCAAACAGGAGGGGGTGGGGTGACCCCAGGGACTCCCCCTATATTTCATTTAATTTGTTTTATTTTCCCATACATGAATATATATGGTTTAGGGGTGAGGATCTCAACCATTTCCAAGTTCTCAAACAGGAGGGGGTGGGACGACACCGGGGACTCCCCCAAATTATTTTCATTTGATTTCTTTTATTGTCCCATACAAGTATATATATTGTTTAGGGGTGGGGATCGCTACGGTTTACAAGATAAAAGTACATTTTCAAATTGAAGGGGGTTGGGATGACCCCCAGGGACTCACCCTATATTTTGGTTGATTTTTTTTTATTGTCCTGTTCTCGTTACTGAAGACTGCATGTGTCTATCACTTACTGTTTTCGAGAAATAGTCATTTGAAAATTTAAAAAAATAAAATCCCATAGGGTTCTATAGTAAACCCCTCCCTTCTTCAGGCCCCTCCAAATACCCCTAAATAGACCCCAATGCACAAACAAAAGATTAATGGCTCCTCTAGACATGTTAGTCTAATATTTTATGAAACCATAAGTAAATCTGACAAACGGTCAAAGTTGTCTTCTTAGAGGGTTTGAGTGGATTCGGTCCGACTTGTCTCGGGGACGAGTGGTCCACATTACTTAAAATATCCAATCAACGTCGATTTCCGCATCTGTTTCATGACCTCGTTTCCTTCATAAAATAACAACCACCTTATTTGGCAAGATAAGTTAAAAATTACCGCCCACTTATATAACTTTATTTCCTCTATCATAGAGATTTGTTGTACATGAACAATATTCCTGCACATTTTGCCATTTGGGAA